CTGCACCGCGCTCCGCATCGCGTCGTCGTTCTTCGTCAGGATGTCCACTCGTGATACCAACTCGCGAAGGATGAGGCTGACTAGGACCACCCGTTTCGGATACTTGGCTTTGCCCATCTCCTTCTCTGTGTCGAACGTCTGTGACGCCGTGTACAGGGGGGATACGAGCGATTGGAGCTCCCCTGCGGATTTGATTTGCAAAAACATCACGTAGGCTTGATTGAGTCTTTGCGCCGCCAATGCATCTTCGTGTCGAATCGATAGTCTCGCGATGGTGTGCACCAGATTGGTGAGCTGAGATTGCGATGACTGGGAGGTTCCGGCATTGGTCTTGGCCTTGCCCTTGCCCCTTCCAGGTCCCTTTTTCTGAAGCTTCGACGCTGCTGCCGTAACCAACATTGGCGCCGTCTCTTGCTCCACCTCCTTTCTTTTGGAGCCTGCCATTGGTTCCATCTCCATCCCTGTTGCCGTCGATGGGGGACTCTGGTCGGATTGCTGGATCATCTTGGCTCCGAGACCCTGGAACGCTTTGGAGTAGGTGGACAGTTCGCTGCTGGTCGGGGGCTGAAATTGCAGCTCTGTCATGAAAGATCAGATTCGAAAAGAAGACCTGCAGTAGAGTCGGGCATTTGTGTTTAGTGTGCATGCTGGCCACTCCACCGCAATATATACACGGAGCTGACAGTACAAAAGGAACTACCAGCTTGGTGGCCCGCGTGCCGTACTTGTTCCAGAGGTCCTGATGGGATTTGACAAAGTGGGACCCAAAGTCATGCTTGTTAACCAGCCATTGTCTGCAGATCGCGCAGTGATGAGCGAGCTCCTGAAGCACGTCCTTGCGCCTGCAGAGATAACTGAGTCCCCCTTTACGAAATGATTGCTGGAAGTCAGAATCCGATGCGACTGGAATCTTGTCTCGAACCTCAGTAGCACCGCGGGTGGGCTGGGCAGGAGGGAGGGCTATCGCTGAGCCGGTGGGAGCTGTGCATCGATTCAGTTTAATGTGGCGCCCCAAGCTACTCCATGTGTTGAACTTGCTCAAGCAGAAACAACATTGTGGCATGCCATCAACCCCGTATCTGCGTATGTCTGCATTGACATCAGCAAACGACCTCGCAGCTACATCAGGCTCATGTTCAGTTGAGTGTTTTTTTGTAACGTGCTGCCGCATGGCTGCTTGAGTATTAAAGTAAATGCCACATTCTGGACATGAAAAGCCCTCCTGCAACGGGATATGTACCAGGGTGGAGTCGTGTTTTCGGTGGTACGTAGCCTCCAGGGCGAGCTGTTTGAACTCCATAATTCTGTTGTGCAGGATGTTCTCAATCATTGGGTCCTTCATGATATCATCCGGCTCGATCTGTCTGTACAGTTGTTGAAGATTGAGAAGTCGACTGGAGGCCAGTTTGTGTAGATGTTGCATTGGTTCCGGCAGGCCTACTCTCTGTAATAGATCCAACGATCTCTCTCCCGTAAGATGAACTGGCGAGTTGGATATTGCCCGAATTTGTTTGATCCATGCAACTGCAAACATGTCCGCTGATGTTTTGGTTAAGCCCGTACTTAGTAGTCCATACGTCATCGCTGGAAGAATAGTGCAACGCCATAGTCGAATGCGATGATGTAGCCGAAGAATCTTTCGGGCATTGACCAGTTTCCGTAAGCGATCGTAATTCGCCCTTCCAACCGCAATCCGGTGTCTCATTGTCTGCTCTTCAAAACTCGTGTATGACAATACTATACCCATGTAGTGAAGCTGAGACACCAGTGGAATGAGCTCCACTGTCACAGTATTCGCTTCAAAGATCGGTACCTTCAGATGTTTTTCATCCTTTACAAGTTCGATGCAGGTGCGCTTGATCCGTTCCGAGCCTTTGCCCTGCACATGCAATATGGCCTTGGACTTGTTGGCATTGACCTTCAAGCCAAATCTTCGAAGCAGCCGAAGGAGTTGACCCAGAGATTGAAGAGCCCCATGAAGATCAGTCGGTGAGGTCAGCTCCCAGCATATGTGCTTGTCGTCAGCGAACATGGACAGCGTTCCTGTGGGAGAGCGCAAGCCACCGATAGCCTCAAATTCCTGATAGAGGAGTCCAGTGAATACCGACCATACAATCGGCGAGAGGCAGCAGCCCTGGCGAACACCACGTCCTGCATGGACTAGAAGCCGGGTGCGTTTGTACGTGAGTTCGTATACCGTGCCCTGGATCCATTGAGCAATCGCAGAGCATAGGCCTTCAGGAGCACCTGTTCGGCGTACTGCTTCCATAACTAGGGACCATGGGCCTGTGTCAAAGGCTTGAGACAGGTCCAGGGATACCTGAAGACCTGCTCGAAAATCAGTCGTGCTCGTGCCCTGTCTGAGATGATGCAGATTGTAGGCTTGACTCTGTATGGTGGTACGAACTGATCGACAATGTTGTACTGCACGCATCAATGCACACATAACGTCACGGCCTGGGAGGTATGCATATTGTGGGATCCTGCGCAGGTATTTTAGAGCATAGGGTTTGAAGTGCTGGGCCAGAATCGAAGTGTACGCTTTGGAGAGAGGGTCTTGTAGGCCAATGGGGCGTAGAGACGTAAGGGGGCCTACTGGCTTGCCAGGCTTCTGAAGAAGAGCCACGGAGGTCATAAGCCATGATGGAGGGTATCGGATGTCCGCCGTCTGGATGCCTTTCTGTCCGGATAGCCACTGTCCAAGTGCTGGCGCAGCTATTTTCCAAAAAGGTGCAGGAGGAAGATGTGGGCTGACCGCTTTGCGTGGGCGAATCGCACATACAGCTTGTCGGATTTCGTTCGCAGTTATGCAGAATGTCGACCCATCACCTTGTTCAACCACAGCGGTGCACAATGAGGGCGATTCCCACTGCATGGGAAGATGCCATACTCCCTCGAAGTGTTTTCGAAGATGTTCTTCTTCGTCGAGTTCGGAAATAATCATTCCTTCGGCATCCCGTATTTGTACCTGTTGACGTCGAGACTTGGGAGCCAGCTTGCGAACAAGTTTGTAAAGGGCCACTGTGTTGGATGTATTGGCCGCCTCCTCTGCCATTTCCAGATAGGTTTGGAATCGCTCTCGCTTCAATCTTCGACCAACTTTTTGGGACTCCTTTCGCATTTTGTGGTATTGCACAAGGTGCCTCCAGCGACGTAGTAGTCCACGGAGCGGTGAACCCATCATAGACCCTGTTTTGGCTGCCTTGTAGTGTCCCCACATTGTTGTGATGTATTGCTTCAGCTCCACTTGCTGTGGTGTGGGTGAGTGCTGCTCTGGGACCCTCAGAAAATAGCGGCTGCAAAGATCATGTAGCAGTATCGGGATGTCGTCATACCGATCGAGGGGCAAAGTACTTAGTGACTCCATCATTTGGGCATGGATGGCCTGAGAGATCGTCCCAGGGTTCTGTACCTCCTGCAGGATGGCTGTAATATCGTATTTGGGACATTGTCGTTGTTGCCATGTAGGTTTGGGTACATGAACTATGCCCATAACCGGGTAGTGCTTCGTGTCCCTCCAAGCCCCGACAATGAAATCATGTTGAGGCATTGCTTGCTTGGCCAGCCCTGTAGCTTGGGATTGCCTGGTAAATACATAGTCAATCTGAGTTTTGTACTTCAGATGAGTAAAGGTATGTGGTCGTCGTCCTCGCCATGTATTGAGTGCACATAGTGCATGTTTGCGAACCACCTCCAAGAATTGTTCGACATCTTTGGCAATTTGGGCGTCCAAGGGTGCTCGCAAGCATGTGGCCGAGCCGACATATGGTTCTTCTCTGCGAAGTTGTAAATTAAAGTCACCAGCCACCAAAACTTGATGCTCAACCGCCAAGGAACATAAGATCTTATCCAGGTTGCGATACAGTTGGGATCGCTTGAGATAATGGGACTCCGGTTGTTGAAAGGATACCGCTTGATTGTAGCAGTTTAGAATGTCCAATACACCCTTGCTGTGCGTGATACGGATGTGATCCAAGCGACCTTGTAGTACGCGACGTACACGAACCTCCTTGGTGGTCACATGCGGTATGTTGATCAGGGTCAACAGTCCTGCCGATTTGTCTTTTTCTGCATGGCCCGAGGAGATATGCATCCATCCTTTGGATTCCCATTCGCTCGTAATACTCCAATGGGACTCCTGCAGAAATACAACGTGAGGTCTTTGCTGCGAAGGTAGCTCGTCCAGCCATTGAATTAATTCTGGTAGCAGCATATTGCCTAGGCCACTGCAGTTCCATGTCATGTATCTCAGCGTCATGTGGCCGGGCCGACGGCTCCAGGTGTGTAGCGGTCGTCTGCCTTCAGTGAAACTACGAAAACAAGTATTGCGCATACCGAGACTCTGTGCCGTGTGCAATCTACCCCTGTACATGGTTTCGCCAGCCTTTCCCTCGGAAATGCGTTTCTGCACTCTCATCCTCGCTCTTCGGAAAGATCGTTTGCAGGCCTGCGTGTTTGTGAAGCTGACAGGCCGATCATAACCGAGATCGTGCACATTCCCGGGTCCCGAAAGACGAGTACCCGGTTCAGCCTCCTGGACGGAGGAGGCCACCCTCGGTTCTACGACAGCTGTTGCAGCATATATACAAGAAGAAAGCACGAGTAGCCGCAACCATGCACCATAAGTGGGTGTACCTTGGAAGCTGTCGCCCCGGGACTTGGGACCCGAGCGGCTCTTAATCTGGAATCCTCCTGAGATAAACCATTGAGAAAAATTTGTAGTCTGTCTGTCATCATACTTGGAACATAGAGCTGAGATCAAGAGAATGCATCCACCGAGCTGGCCGCATGCTGCCATCATGTAGTACGCGAGAAAGTACCAGACCTTATACGCCCCAGCTGCGAGAGCCGATGTACAATATTGACTCTGAGTGATCCCACGTTTCATACGCTTCGTACATGCTTTATAGCGAAAGCGGGCCCATGGATGCGATCTGCTTTTTATTCCCCATATCCGATCGAGTGCTCTGAAAGTTGCCATCTGCCATATCTTGGCTTTGTTAGTCCTCAGCACGAGGTGGGGTCCTCTCCGACGTGATCTGCGTTGGCATTGAGGTCGTCGACATTGGTAGTGATGTTCCCCGAACCACTCTGACCGGCTCCAAGACCACATCGTGATGTGCTGTGAGAGCTCCGTCCACATTGTGTACAAACCCTTGCCGGAGATGGAAGAACCAACTGCGTGTGGGTTGCCCGGCGACTGATATTGTCGGTCCCTCGTTGAACTCCAAGTGCCAGGTTTGCAGCCGTTGCCCCACATCAGCAATGGGCGGGTGGCCCACTCCGAAGCCCAGGAACCGATAGTGGTGGCGCCCCTGTTGGGGGGGGTGGCCCTCCGCGTGAGAGGAAGGGTCGTGGAGTAGTGGTCGAGGTAGCTGGGCGAGGATGCCCCGGTGACGGAGTCGAGGCTTTGGGAGCATCGGCCGAGGCTCCGCGTCTCGCGAGGATGCCCATGTCCATGCTGGTGGTCGCAGGCCTGGGAGTCGGCATTGAAGGCTTGGCAGTATCGGCTGAGGCTCTACTTCCCGTGGAGGTGCCGGTCCCTCGTCCTGTGACACTGGGTCTGGAGGTGGCGTCTCCTTCTTCTGCAGGTGTCTCCGAAGGGCTGTCGAAGATTTCGCTTTCCATCCTGGCATAGGAGTCATCCGAGATGTCGTCGTCGGTGAGTCGTGACCTCCTTCGCTTCGATGGCGGAGTCGCCGGGTGGTTTGCCCTTCTTTTGGGAGGCATTGCACAGGGCAGGCGGTAGCAATACAAGCAGTAGTCCCGGCTACCGAGCAGTCGATATAAGGATTCTGAGCCTGATATATCCCAAGGTGAAAATCAGTATCAGCATGCCCATACATGGTATGAGAATAATATGAGTCAGCAACGGTGATCATCCGGCATATAAGCTGTAGCTGCTCATGGTCGATGTTGCAAGAACTTGGGTCCAGACCATAATGCAAACTCGTTGTGTATCGGGATGGGTCTGATAGTGTCGGAGGCGTCACCTGTTGCAATACATAGTGAGATTGCAGATGCTCGCAAGTCGGGGTCACAAGGGACCTGTGGCAGTGGTACTGCTTCCGTCTGCAGACGTTATCCATGGATCTCTTCACGAAAAGGACGACTGTCCTGCAGTGGCATCGAGTTACGCAATCCACTTCGAATACCCATACATGTATTGCAACCAATGCATGGTGCACCATGGGTACGGTATACTTTTCCAGCTGTGCAGAGAGATCCATTTGTACAGATTCACCAGCTACATCCGATACTGCATTGGTATCGGCCACGGGCTGGTTGTCCGGAGATGTGGATTGATCTAGGGCAGCGGTGTTGACGTCGGTTGCGACCTCCCCTTCTATCGAAGTTCGTTGATTGATGGCTGTAGCGTCGTCCACCTTGTCCTCTGGACCTGCATCCGGGAGGGTAGCTGCCAGTTCCACAGAGACAGTCGCCACATTCGGTGCCTCGCCATTCCCCAAGTTCGCGCCCTGCTGGATGACCTCCTCCGTATCACCAGGTTGGGATGGCCGCTCATCGAGAGACGTTTCGGCCACTGTCGCCGCGGTGGCTTGAAGACGTTGTAGCTGCCGGAGTCGTCGATCTTTGGCCTGTTGCTGTAATTCCTGCAGGGACATAGCGTAGGCCTCAGTCGAAGATACGACCCGACACTCTTTGTAGCTCTTCGGCTTCTTCGAGGTGATCAGCATGGTGCCCGTGGGAAATTCCTTCACTCGAGTGCGCTCCTTTGCCTTGGCTTTCGATTTCACTCTGGTCTTCTTCACCGTCTTCTTCGGAATAGGCTGTGCATCTGACTCCAATGCTTGGTTTGTCTTCTTCTCGTCCTTCTGTTTCTTCCTGTGTGTAAGCATCGTAGAAATACTGGCCAGGCGTCTCTCCTCTGCCTCCTTTTCGACTAAGGTGTTGCTCTGGCGGCTGGAGACCTCTCCAGCAGAACCAACAGGCTTCCGCTGCCCCGTTCGCTCCAGAGGTCGTACACGATGAATGCGATGAGGTCGTATCCCGCCTGGTGACCTCGTTGCCGGCTCAAGCGCTACTGGCTCGCGCTCACGCGAGGGCTGTCGCGCTTCGCGAAGAATCACTGGAGCTGCCGGCTCCAGGGAGCGGTCTCGTGGCATTGCTCCGACCACCCTAATAATAGTGGTCGAGGAGCTGTTGCTGGAGGATGAAGTCGCCGGTGAGCGAATATTGTTATGAGCACAAGGTCGATGTCGTGGAGAAGGTGAAGTAAGCTTTGCTGGACATGTATGTCTCGGTGATGGTGACTGTGATGGTGATATCATACCTGCATCGACCGAGGCCTCGCTGAGGTCGTCATCTGGCTGTATGTTACGAGGCCAGCGAAAGAAACCACCAGCCTCGCCTGTGTGCAGCTCTCTAGCATGGTCCGGTGTCGGTGACTGTGAGGGTGTTCGTTGTCGGGCTGCCCGCTGTGGTCGATGGCGGGGCAATGGGCGTCGCCCAGGTTCTCCACATAACCTTGGTAACGGGGATCGCACCGGTTGAGGATCTCGTCGCCTCAGAGGAACTCTGCTTCTGGTTCGGCTTCTGGAGGCATCCGTACGTGTAGAACGATACCCATGGCGAGGTAGTGGACTGCGACCGCGGTTCACCATGGTATAACACTCTGAGGTATATGGGGACTGGGAAATGGGATGTAGTGCATACCAGAACTGTAGGTTCCACCATATGCCAGTTGCTTTTCTTATATGAAGGGCATCGCTGTAGCAACCTCTGGTTTGCTTTGAGCAACTGAAACAATATGCTTGCTGTGTACAGTCGGTGGCAGGGAACGAGAGTTGCATCGTGCAAAAGAGCAGTGAAGCACTCGAATTGCACAGGTCCTGCCGCTGCTCGATAGTTGTCCACCATGTACATCCATCGATGTGCCCCATTTTACCAGCAAGATGCCTGAGACAACAGGAAGTGTCCTTACTACCTATACCATCGCTGTGTTTAGTCGTTGCCCTTTCAAAGCTCGTGGCATGTAGTGCAAAAGCTCGCGACATCATCGGGGTGGTGCCTATACATGGTTGCCAGATATCGCATGTATAAGTCTCTGTCCAGCACTTGTTTTGCAAAGTGAAGCAATCCGCTGACGTTCTCGCTGTTCGTAAGAGCTGAGGCCAGGGCTTGTGCATAATGCTGACAGGACTGGCTGGTGCCAACATACGCGTCTGCAATAATCTCCAAGAGACATGCCCTGTACTGCCATTGCTTGCTTGCTGCAACAAATGCATCACCACCAGACATTTGAGCTGCCGACCTGTTTGCCATTGCAGTGGCAGGATCATAATACCAGCCCATAGAGCCAGCATCATGTATACCAGAAGCATGCTCGCCATCCATGAAATAAAAAATACAGCAGCAGTGTGTGAAAAAGAAGGACTTAAACAGTGCGCCTTCTATGGCAACAATGCAGTAAGACTGTGACTACTTCTCAGTGAGACACAAGAAAGTCGCATACTGGAAAAACCCAAAGACTGCTTATCGAAATAGAGTACCGGACACTGGAGGTACAAAGTGAATATGCAAGAGACCCAGTTCTCGGAGGAAAGCACAGGTAACAACTCGAGCCGAGAACCTTCACAAAGTTGGGACTTCCGGAGAATTCGAACTCAGGAACCGCCGCATGCCCATCTTCTTCGGACGGTGAAAAACCAGTGCCAACACCAAGAACAGAATGCTCTCTCGGCACCGGAGAACCTTCCCTAAGACTTCCGAAGCCCTCAAAGTCGCTAAGGCCTTCCCCACAGCTTTCATCCCCGATAAACAAGTCCGACAAGTCCAATGCAGGACCTGAGGCATCCACGAGGCCTTGCTCTACTGGCTCTGGCTGCGAGCCGGGCTCATCCAACAGCCCCGGGGTACCTGGTGCTGCTAAACTCGGAGACTCAAGCGATCCCAAAGACCCCAAATTATCCGCAAGACCAGCTCTGGAATGATGGAGGGCATAACGTCTCACCACATGCAGCAGCGGTGTGGCGCAAGTGCAAGGACCAATGCAGCGTAGACAATGGCTAGGGGCAGAAGCACTGTCTTCAGACATCAGAAGCCAGCAGGGCGCAACCGCAACAAACGACGCAACAAGTTGGCCAAACGTCCTATGGAGATGTGCAAGAAATGATTGATGGCAGCCAACCTTGTGGAAGCCTGTTCGAGGTCAGCTTCGAGATCTCCAAGACGAGTTTCAAGAGATGCTATGCTTGACTCCAAGGAAACAACACGATGCGTAAGCTGACGCTGTGCACGCCCGAGCAGCACAAGGTCACGACTGTGACTGTCCAAGCGAGCCTCAAGGACCTGCAGTCGATCAGCTGTGAGGCCAGCGTCCATGGATCGCGCACGGGCGGAGAAACTAGAAATTTTGACACATTGCAGAAGCTTGAGTCTAGTGTTCAAAGCTTGATGCAAAACATTTGGCAGCTCCAAGAACTTGCAGATGCTCATCGTTCACAAGGCACTTGAACCGGTGAACATGCGCAAGCAATGGTGTCAGAGACTGGAAAATGAGTGCAAAAGGCCAATGAAGGAAAGTTTTCCCTTTTCCCAAAGCTCAGGCGAGCTAGCAAAGAAACACAAAGGGGTTTTTCTCTAGGCTCAGACTTTAATGCACTATCAACCCGTTGACCGTTAGCTTTCAGCCGATCGATCTCCATTGGGATCAGTCCTTGACCTTGGAGCTTGAACTTGTTCCTGGGGCCTGAACACTCAATGACCCCAAGATGTTCTTAGCCAACCACGTTTGGTTGCTTCTTTCGTGTAATAGCTTCGTCCTCAAGTCATGGTAACTTGTCTTCTCATTGATTCCGACCATGATATGCTGCTCTTCAGCAACGTTCCGATCCAAGTTGTCATCGTACTTCGTCGTCGATAACTTCTCGTGCTCGTTGACCAACTTCTCAAACGTGAGGACACAAATCCATCAGGCTAGCTCCCTTTGCCATTGCAGGGAATCCTACCAAGGCTTGGGCCATTGCCAGACTTCGTACAGGATGGTTCCAGCTCCATTGTGAGTTGCCTCCAGACTTCAAATCCATCCATGTTGTCGATGCTTCTCAACACCTTCAACGGACGATTCTTCAAGTAACTACTCAAGACGGAATACAGCTTCATTCCTCTTATCTTTCGTCTGCTAGGAATTCGCAGTCCATGAACGCTAGAAAGTTCTTAAAGGCGAAACTCCAGTCACTCCATTGAGAGACTTCTTCTTCGTGTTGCCTTTGGAGTTTGGACTGTGCCCAGATTAGATTCCATGGCCGCCGTGACATGTCCGTAATTGTACTAAGCGTGGGCGGACTTGTTGAGGCAGGGGGCTCGTACTCCCGCGTGGCTGCGAGCGGCCTGGTGCCTAGGGGCACGGCATCCGCTTCTGTGGCAGGAACCGTGGTGGAGGCCTCAGATGCCACCTCGGACTTTGAGGCTGTGCCCTGAGTCCGGGTCTGTTGGCCTTCCTGCGTGCAGTTGGCAAGTTTCGTAAAATCCCACTTTTCTGTGCTTGTTGAGTGCCAGAGTCGTTCTGCCAGCCACGCCAATGCCTCCACTTTCCAGCATCTTGTTAACGCCACCTTCTGTCCCGATTTTGTGGAGAAGAAGTGCCCATAGTTGTTGTGTCCATCAGTCTTGCGAACTTCCGCACTGTGGCGCTCCTGCAGAAGGTATGAGCGCCACGGCGCGAGTCGCACATGAGGCAACACAGTGCTCGGTACTTTTCACAACTCGAGGGACACATGTGCCTTGAGTCGGTCGAAGGCGGGACAACAAGCATGTTGTCGGAAGTGCTTACGGCTGATGCTGTGCACTCACACACATCGAAAATCGTGTACAAAGTGTCAAGCATCTGCTCAAATCATACGGAGAGGCAACTTTAAAGTGCCCTGTTTGAGAGTAGCCCACCACATCTCAGGCTTGAGCTTCTTCGTGAGCATATCGGCCAACATGTCTTCAGTGGGTAGCCAATGGATAGGAGGTCGGCAGGGTCTTTCTGGCGTGAAGGTTGCCTGAGTGCCAAAACGTTTCCTCCATTGGTTCTGCCCTTCTCGCACCAAGACCTGCCGCATCCAGCCAAGTCAAGTGCCAAACGCTTATCAGCTGGTGCCTTTGGCGTCCCTTCACGTTGGATGTGGTCATAGAGGCTCTTGCAGTCGGTGACAAGATGCATGTCCACGAACTTCATGGCCTCCTCTTCCGTGACGTGCTTGCCCTAGAGCACGAGACAAACAAGCCACGCAGGTACAGGGAAGCTTCCATGGTGTCGCTGCAAGCCAGCGTTTCTCCGGCAAAAGTCGATCTGCATACTCTGCTGCGGCTTTGCTACGCCAATCCAACACGCTGAATGCTCCTTCACCGCCTTCCAGGCAGCGTCGGTCGGCGGCAAGGATCAGGTACGCGAGCTGCGAAGACACAGTGTGATCTCCAATTCACTTTTCATCTCCGGGCTCGGCATTTGGATCCGCTACGTTGCCCCAAGCGGCATCGCGGTAGCCCAGGACGACGGCGTATGAAGTTTGCGAAATGGTCGCACATTCGGGGGATGTGAAGTCGTACTCGCAGCCAGCGCACTCGAATTTGTCGTTCTGCCAACCGTCCACTGGAAACATTGAGGCGAGCTTCTGCTGGAGTGGCTCGCGCAGCTTCTGCTGTGTCAGGAGCAACAAGTCGTCGACATGAGTGAGAATCAGGCCGACGACCTCCTGACTCTCCTTCTCCATCAGCACGAAGACACAAGGATCGATGGTGTTCTGCGAGACATAGTACTTCTGACCCTCGTGCTCGAGCTCCATGTTCTTCAGGTCGTTGGACAACTTCATCCACCAGAGCTTTGGACTAGTACTAAGGCCGAAAACACCTTTGAGGATCTCAACCAGTTGCCCCTTTTCAAGTGACGGGATCCCGCGCTTGGGCTGTTCGAAATATAACGATCTCGGAGCCGGGACACCGTTGAGAAATGCTGCTCGGATGTCTCCGATGCTCGCCACCCATTGCTTGGCCAGTGCCAGTTGGATTGCCATCATGATCGAAGCTCTGGATGTCGTCGGAGCATCCACCACGATGTCCTTTGTGAGGTCTGGGTCGTTCTGTCCACTCACGCACAACCTGGCCTTGGGTTTTGGGCCCAGGGCCCCATCCACACGGCGCTTGGAGAAGTTCTTGTCTTTGTAAGCAAAGCGCGACCTCAAGATCCTGGCGGGATCTATTTCTTCGCGAAGCCTTCGGCTTTCGTCAACCGACAGGGCCCTGACTGCGCCATATCGCACATGTTCATCCCATTGGGTTTGTTCAGCTTCTCGATAAAGATGTCGTTCGGAAGGATCTATCATCCCCCAAGGAAGTTCCTTCTCGAGTTGCTTCTCCCGGCCACGTTCCGAAACACGATGGGCCGCCATATGGACCTCACGAGGACGTTCATGCCCCAACTTTGCCTTCTTGAACTACGTCTCGCCTCCTCTTCAAACTTCTCCTCTCGCTCGATTGCCCGCACGACGCGTTCATCATGTGCTTGGCGACCTCCTTGGAACTCATCCTCGACCTCCATGGCGGCACCCTCGTCCACGTACTCCTCATCGATGGCCGGCGGCTCCGCGGTGAGGTCCTCATACTCAGTCAAGTCGTTATCCCTGAGAAGGTTCCGTACTTGGCGCATGGCGATCTTGATGCGGAGGGCCTCGCTGACTTCTTCATGTTCTGCTCGGCAAAGATGCTCGGACGCTGCCAAGAGCCCAACGACCTCCACGAGCCACCCAGTAGTTGCCCCCCTCACGGCCGATGACTGTAGCCGGTCCTGTCCAGGTGGCCGCGGCTTTTTGCCTTTGCCAAGCCGCATCAGTCTGAAGACGTAGACCAGCTCTCCGGGTCAATGGACGGTGCTTCGACACGAGTCTGGTGATTTATGGCGCGGCTAACAGCTGCCTTGACCTGGACCCGGTGAAATGCTCCACGAGCAGCAGCGCGTCGGGCCTGTAGTCGAGCGAACTTCGCGTCGGAACTTGTGACCTCTGTGCCACCAGCGCCACCATTAGCAGCGTCATTTCCCTCTGGGTCAATTGTCGCGGGGAATAGCCCGCCCGGTTCCGTAACTGGTTCTTCGCGTCACTTACCAAGGCTGCTGTCTTTTTCTATTCTTCTAGGATCACCTTCTCCTCTTCGACAACCTTCGCCCAGATGTTTTTCCAAGTCGCCCCATGCCACTCTGCGACACCATTCTGCCAGTGAGCCTGGCCAGCTGCGCATCGCACCTGGATGTGGTGCTGGTCCATAGAGCACAGAAACTGGTCCTTGAAGGTGGAGTCAAGGTCTGTGAGGATCAGACGTGGCGCCTCAGCCCATGGCGGATTTGATTCCCGGAATCACGACCTGGTACGTGGAAGCGAGGTCGACGACATTTCCTGCAGAAGAGGATCAGCATTCTCATCTAACATGCAGGGTTAGCCCACGACCTGTCAAAACCTGTGTCCTGGAACCCACGAGCACACAGCAATTGCCGGGCCCGATGTCATCCTCTCCGGAATCCCACCAGCTTCGCAAAAGCTGTTGAAGGCCTGCAAAGCTGTGCGACGGAAAGGTTCAAGCATCCAGTCTGCGTGGGCCGCTGACCTCAATGGCAATGGCGCTGGAGAAATGGGAGGCGAAGACGAAGAAGAGCTTCTGCCGGATGCTGCCGGAGCCGGAGCCATATCGTTTCGGGGGAAAGTCTCCCCGACCGTGGCTGCACTTTTGAAAAGGGCGCATGAGAACCTTGGACCGCCGAACAAGGAGCTCATCAGACATCTTCAGCTCAGCGGGGCCAACCCTGCCCTAATTCAAGGGACTTACCAACAATCAACAAGGGCCAGACCAGCGCGCGTGGTTCAACCGGAAGTTTCGTTTAACTTTAACGAGGCTCTTGCTCTCGACATCTTATGGCTGGAAACCTTTGATTCTCCCGGGGCAAACATCCCGGCGCTTAGCACTTGTTCTTGACATCACGTAGCGCATACTGACACATGTCGACCTTGGCGAAATGCATCTGTTCTAGCTCCACTTTTGCGCCGGAGGGGCCTGCCACAGGCCGGAGCCCCTAGAATTCTCAATAGCGAAATGGCTTTCGATAGCTGATTCACCTCTTGAAGGAATGTCAGGAAGGTTTGCTCTTTCTTGCGTCTCCGTCGCCGTTCTTGTTGAGCATAGCGCCTCCGGGAAAAGGCACCACTCAGGGGAGGCCCACACCAGCCACGGTCGCTCCTTTGCAATCTCATTGAGGACTTCGGAGATTCTAGTGGCCCGCAAAGAGATCGAGGAAGTCCGCTCTGCCAATGTCGTCGGAGTCGTAGTGCCTGGGCTGAAAGACTGCCCACGCCTCCTTGGCTGGCTCAGCAATGCACTCTGTGACGTGCGCGGTCATCATGACGGAGAAGGTGGCGCAAGCCTTCGCCAAGCCCAGCAGCGCCCCGCCGACCTTCTTTCTCTTGGCCCAGGTTGCATAGCGGACAGGTCTGGGTGTAAGTTGCCACCCTGGAGCTCTGTCACCGCCCACGCCATGTACTAAGAAGGAGTTTCCTTAAAGTACCCCCAATACTTGCCAAAGCCAAGGATCTTGTCCGACGGGGTTGACCTTAAGTCCCTCAACATCTTTTTTTAAGCAGGCCTCTGGTTGGGCATGGTGGCATTGTTAGGCCCTGCGCTTGTGCAGCATTGGTACTGATAGGCCCTTCCAGGTTCGTCGTGGTGGCCTTCTCCACGCCGATCCCATGGCGCGCTCTTGCACCTGTGCTTTCCATGCCAACGCACCCAAACATGCTTTAAAATAGTTGCAAGAACCAGAGAAGAGATTGCAAGCATGTTTGGCAGAACACATCAAACTTGTTTTCGACGCTAGACAAGAGCGCCAGTTCTTCGCCTTAGTTGCAGCTTATCAAGGTACAGCCACGCCTTGACTAATGAATAAATCTCTTGAACTTCGTTGAACTTTCTGATTGGTTGGTCAGAATCACTTGAGGCAGCACGCAACATCTTGCTAAAGCCAAGGATCTTGAGGTTAAGCTCTTTGGCGTAAAGGCCAACTCCTGCTGACAGGCAGGCAGCTTGTGCTTAGCAGCCATACTTGGATCTTCTTGACATACCTCCGCGCGCATTGCGGCCTCTTCCAACTCTTCGCCGTCGAACTGGAACTCACTTCTTGGCCGGCCTCTGTTTTCTCTTTACTACATCAGCAGCGCAGCAGGCTGTTCAACACAAGGTGAAACAGAGCAGGTGCAAAAACGAAAGCAAACACACACCAAAACAAGGCGGGCGCGGCATTTGAAGCGGCTAATCTTGCCACTTCAAATGCTACACTGTTAGAAGGTGTGCCACCTTGACAGCCGCTCCACTTGCTACAACCTTAGAGGATGTCTCTTAAATCTACAAATTAGCCGCTTCAAACGATACACCTTTAGAGCGATGTTCATAACACAATAAAAACCAAGTGATTTCAAAAATTTTTTCACATCACTAACTGCTTCACAAGAAACAAAAACAAGCTTGTTTCCAACTGTTTTAGGATTTACAACAAAACAAAACCGTTCAAAGAAATCCAGACAAGACAAACAAACACGATAACAGAAACCTGATTAAATTCAAACAAGTTCAATCAACGATCACTTCAAAAAACAAAGTTGCATTTTTTTTTTATTTTGTCTTCTAGACAACAGACGTTTTTTTGTTTTTGAAAATGTTCTTTACTATTTCAATTTGTCCAAAACTTCTTGTTTCAAATTTCATTTGCATTGTCTGACAGAAAAGAGTTAATAAAATTGTGTCTAAATGTTTTCATCAGAATTTCTTATTTTTTTTTCAAATTGAAAAATCTGTCTCTGTCCTTCACATTGCCTGAAGGGGGCGGGGGGCCAATGTGAGGGAGGGAGGGAAATGACTCTGAAGAGGAGAGGGGTTGGGCATGCAGAAACTCTGCTCATTTTTTTTGACATTTTTTCTAACTGAGATCGCCTGACCTATTGAAGCGGATTGAGCATTTGCTTCTTTTGATTTGATGCATTTTGATTTGCAGCAATTTTGGATTATGGCAAGAACTGAATTAGCGCTCGGTGGAAAGCTGGGCAAGTGACCATGGGATCTGCAGGAAGAGACAGACGAGTCCGTTCTCAGCCCAAATCTTGGCCGAAAAGTCGTCAGTCCAGGGCTCGGGAAGAAGACTCACCCATCGAAAGTGCAGAACCAAAGGTGAAGCCCAGAAAGCGACCCAAGCGCCTTGCAGCAGCATTTTGAAAGTCGGTGGATCCAGCTCATCCTTGCCATCAAGACCGTACACGGATCCTCGTCAAGAGAGCCGAAAGAAAACGAGATCGCCAAGCAAATTTGTCCAGATCTTCCTTGTGGACACGCTTTTCACTTGACGGAATTCTTTGTTCGACTCCTGCTAAGCTCTTGGAGATGTGTGTTGACTTGGACTTGATGCATGATGGTCGACTTGATCCGTGTGAATGGTGCGAAGAGACCAATTGGATTGAAGGAAAGGGAGACCATGGCTCTTACAGGTGCAAGACAAAAATTGCAGATGCTCAAAGTCTGCATTGACACATGACGCAGATCTCTTCAACAAGAAATTGGCACTTCGATCCTTGGTTGGTGCTCTTTGGCTCTTCTTGCCCCGATCAATGTCAGTCCGGATCAAGCTGGTCTCATTCTGGGGGTCGATCACCGCACTGTCAGAGACTTGTTTGGGAATTTTCGCAAATGGTTGACGCCCATCATTGACCGCATGAATGAAGAGCTTGTGATGGGTGGTGCTGGGATGGACGTGGAGCTAGATGAGATCAGCTTTAGAAGCAAAGGCTTGGACGACAAGGTTGCTGGGTTTCATCGGCCTTGTTTTGTCCGTTTGTTAAAGTGTTTGTATTGCTTGCGATATCTTCAATTTACACTAAGGTTCTATGGCTCCGTTACATTGCGATCGTTCGTAGAGGAAGTGCGAAAGTCTTCATTCACAAGCTCCCGGACAAGTTGACGGCTTCCGGACAAGGTGGAGGAGGCCCTTTGAGCATCCAGGAGCTGAAGGATACGATCGTGAATTCCGCAGGAGCCAGCCGAATCGCCGTTGGCAGTGTCTGTCACACAGACAGTGCAAAGGCGTACAAGAAGCTGGACTCTGAAGAGCCATTGCCATGTTTGTACAATGGAGCCTTGGGAGGACCTTCTTTTGCTCATTTGAAACTGGCGCACAGCAACGTCCGACACAAGCCGCCCCACCCAGAGTTCACTCGAAAGTTCAAGCTCAAGATCTTTGATGGGCGACAATGGGTGGAAGAGATCAGGGTTGGGGGCACCCAAAAGTTGGATGGGTTCTTTGCAACCTTTCGAAGAGAGGTCGGCAAGCGTCCCATCAACACCACGGGGCCTTCTCCTGCTACGGCTGAGGCAATGGAGACACAACTTCATGAGCGAGTGCGCACCTTTCAGTTTTTGCATTGGTTTTCCTTTACGGATGCTTTTCAAGTCTTTGCGGAAATGCGCAAGCTTGAGCGTGCTTCCGTTGGCTCCGTAACGTGGGCAAGCTTGGCTAGTTTTGGAAAGGGAAAGGCAAAGCCTTCCACTGCCCCTGAAACGAAATCTGCAGAGGAGGTTCCTGCTGTTTTGGTGCCTCCTGCAGAAGAATCGCCTCAGCCGCTTTCACTTTCCTGTGATGAAGAGCACGAGCCAGTGTATTCGGAAGGCGAGGACGTTCAAAGCGAACTTTTCGATCCCGAAGAAGAAGAAGAGCTTATTTTTGACAACAAAGGGATCAGAGTCTTGAACTAGCTAGCAGAAAGCAGAAGCTGTTAGAAGTTTGCCAGAGTTTTGCGCGTACAAAAAGAGCTGTGCGTTTTTGGAGTCGATTCCGGTGCATGGTGAGGCTGGGGAATCCAAGTCAGGTCGGTTCAGATCAAGGCTTCGTTTTTGACGTGGTTGTTTGGCAGTGTTTGGTCTTGTGTTGCCTTCTGTTTCCGTAGACACAGTTTTGGGTGGCTTGTCAGCTTGATGGGTGGGTTTGCTAGGCCAGGGGACAGCTTCTTTAAGGGTGTAACACATCGAGCGGCGTGGCCTGGAATTGCTGCCTTGGAGCGGCGTGTTGGTGGCCGCATTTCCACTTGCGGACTGTGGGTGCCGGTTTGTTAGGCTGCGTACGCCTCCTTTGAAGACGTGACGCCTCGAGCGGCGGACCGCTCTTGCTGCGAGGCCCCTTAAAAAAGGTCGCGGCGCCTCGAGCGGCGCGGCTGACGCCGCGCCGCCCTGCGGGCGGCGCGGCGTTTTGAGCGGTTAAAGTTAACCGCGCGCGACGCCGCGCCCGGCCAAAACAACCATAAAGCACAACCACCAACAACCGCCAAACCAAAGCGCCAAACGTCTATGTGTCTTCCGCGCTTAGCACTTAAGGTTGTTGCAGAAATCCAGGCAGTGCAGAGCATGCAGAAGGGTTGCAAAATGCAAGGGTCATCAAAGCCAGTGGTAACTTGTTAGCAAGAACAACGGATGCAAGACCACCCCTTAAATCTTGTTTTACATTTTGTGTTGAGAAGTAAGACTCTAAACATTCTTCGAACCAGAGAAATGAAACTCTTTAAAGGAAGCTTTGAGGGCAATTCCACCCCGCTTGTTTCTTCTTTTGTTTTTTGTTGCTCAAGTTTCAAGAAGCAGAGAGTCAGCAGTAATGTGGCGCGGAGCCAAGCCAAGAACCTAATGTTTTTTTTTAAAGATGATTTTAGATGCTTCCACGCAAGCTTGTCCAAAACACCCAGCAAGTGGTTGGCCTTTTTAAACTTCTGCCTAAATTCTTTACAGAAGGCCTAGCAAGTATTACGTCTTTGAAACTGCTGCCCAAACGTCTAAGCCCTCCGCAGAAGGCCCAGCAAGTATTACGCCTTTTAAACTGACAAACTCTCCAAAAAAGCCCAGCAAGTGGTAAGCCTCTTAAACTGCTGTCTAAACCCTCCGCAGAAGGCCCAGCAAGCATCACGCTTCAGAAGGGAGCTTTAGGGGGGGCTTTAAGGGGGCTTAAAAAGAGGGACTTAAAGGAGGAGCGCCTCTTAAAACGGGGGGAGGGGGCTTTAAGGGTCTTTAAAGGGGACTTAAAGGGGGGCTTAAAAGGGGTTTTAAAGGGGGGCTTAAAGGGGGGCTTAAAGGGGGGCTTGAAGGAGGGGCTTCAACGGGGCTTAAAGGGGGGCTTTAAGGGGGGGCTTAAGGGGGGAGCTTAAGGGGGGCTTAAAGGGGGGCTTAAGGGGGGGCTTAAGGGGGGCTTAAGTGTTAGGATTGAGCTTGACTTCCTGCACATGTACATTGTCCATTGCATGAACAACATGCAACACTGACAGAGAACATTGGCATGTGGACATTGCCATGTCCATGATGCATTGGCTCAAGGCTCAAGGTGCCAACGAGGATTGGCTAAGGATTGGCTCAGCCCAAGTGACACAAAAGATTGCTGAGCGAGAGATTGCATCTGACAGTTGTATGCTTGTATTGTGGTGTGGTCAAGACTATTGATTGAACAGTCATGTGTTTGGTAGTTTACATAACAGTTTGATATTGTACAGAAAGTGACCTTTGAAAATTTCATGGTAGCGGAGCTTCGGCTTAAGAGCTGGGGCCTGCTCACTGACAAGCTCAGTAAGGTAGGATTGTACAAAGTTCGTTTTCGCTGTATGGTCGTTCGAGAAGCCTGGTAGATTGTTTTGTGCATCGAGTTGAGAAGAGTAAGAAACATTGCACAAACCTTTGGCTTGGAGCATCATGTATAGACTTTGGAAGCGCCAGAGAGTTTGGTGAAGCTTTTCCTTGAAGCAGTGTACTGTGGCAGAGATTGTGTGCGAGGTACAGATTGCACATGTCAGTTCTGTCAAAGCATTGCGAAGAATAGGTAGAGAGAGTTTTGTTATGACTGCTGTGTGTAGAGTCATTGCGAGTTTTGATAGGGATGTTTGATTCGTTTGAGTTTTGGTAGGAACTTTTGGTGATTGCAAGTAGCCAAGACGACACGCGTTGATGCTGAGTGAAGCTGAAGTTGTGTCTGAGATTCGTGAAGCCTGATTGACTGAGGTACGATTGAAAGAAGTGGATTGGGCTTGGGTTCGTCCCTCCCCAAGGCCACAGAGGTAGAGATTGAAAGAAAAGAATGGACAAAGGAAGTGGAGGTTTCAGTCCTCACAGAGAAAAGGAATTGCAAGGAAGTGGAGGTTCTAGTCCCCACTGAACAGATTGGGTTCAAGTCCCCAACAGAAAAGGAAAAGAAAAGGATTAGGAAAGGCAAGCTTTTGTCCCTGCCTCAGATGAAAGGGAAAGACTGAAGAAAGAAAGAGGAAAGGAAGAAATGATTGAGGGTTCCAGTCCCCAGAAAATTGTTTACTCAGGAAAGAAGGTAGAGCAGATGAAACAGACATGATTGATGTGGATCAAAGCACAGAAGCGTTGCGTGTATCTGCATGACTAAGGAGCACCAAGGTGTTGTTGAAAAAGGATTGGTCGATTGCTGTGCTGAAAAGAACATGACCAGAGAAGTGCACTTGAGAAAGGATTGATTTGAGGATGATTGGCCAAGAGAGGACGGACAAAATGGATGGACAAGGCTGGCCATTGAATTCAGCCCAGCTGTAGCTTGCATTCCCGAACACGTCGGGCCGTCCACCGCGACCTAGTAGGTGTATTGCTAAAACAGCATTGTAGCTACGTTGGTTGGAACTGTGTGCAGTTCCTTCGGCAGAACGTTGAGACTCTGTCTCATGCCTGATCATTGTGAGCGCGCGCCTTTACCTAAAGCCTTAAACATTGTTTAGCACTTGGGAGTGCTTGCGTGAGAATTTGAAAGGCATTGCAGGTGTCCACTGTCGTATTGCTTGTGCTTGATTCGCGAGTGTCCGATTTGTTTTTTGAGGAACGTACAGTGCGATTTTGTAGTTGGAATTGATGGTTGAAGTACTTGCTGCTTACTTGAAAACATTGGCCCCAAACCGGTGTGTATAGTTGAGCCTCTATCATTGTTGTCTTTCGTCATCTCGGACTCGCCGCCCGGCTGACAAAGCGCAAGCTGCTCGGACAGCTTAGCCATTGATATGCGAAAGCTTCCGATGGGCGGATTGGCTGAGACCTTGTAACGTCGCCAGCGAAGCTCGGATTGGGCAAGTTGTTTGAGAGTGTTTGTTTTTCTGTGTCGAATCTTACTTGCGTGAAGCATTGGACTTCGCTGTTGCCTTTGCTTGAGCATGTGTGAGCATGATTGTCGTTGTACCTTGATTGCAGCAAGGAGTGCGTTGAGGCACGAGCTGCGTGCTTGGTTTGTGCTCGGATGGTTGATGTGGTTCGCCTTTTGCCAGAGCGTGTTGGATTGATGATTGCTTGTTTCTCGGTGGCTCAGACATGGTCGGCGCAGATTAGAGCATTGGAAACGTTTTGATTGTCCTGCTTGAAGCGTGATTGATGGATCAGCGTTGGCTTGTCTGCTTGGATTGCATACTTGTGATGGTCCTTGGTCGTTTCCTTGAATTTGAGAAGTGCATGCCTTGATTATTTTCGTGTCCCGTTCACTCGGGACAGCGTTGCAAAGCACGCGTGAGCATTGAGATTGGTCAGAGGAATATCTCCTTCTGCAGGGCTGCCAGTGCACAGCAGCTGTGCTTGAAGGAGTGAGCTGATTGATTCCTTGCCTTACTTCAACGTTGTGGTTGTTGGCTTTTGGCTTTGTTGTCTGTCGTGCTCGATTGCAGTCAGGTCGATTTCGCCGCTTGAAGCTGGCCTTATTGCTAGTCCCAAGTTGGCAGTTGGATGAGTTTGGTCCCTTCCGTGGATCCCAAACCCCAAAACACGCCGAAAACCAAAAATCGGTCGATTGAAAAATCGTTTTGTCGTACAGAAGCCCTTGGCGGTTGTGCTCAAGTACTAGGGTTTTGTGTACTTGGCTGTGATTGATTTTCTCAGATTTGCTGATTGCACAGCAAGGGACGGAAGCGTGATATTGTCTCTTCAAGGGACGGAGTCGTTGATTAATCGTTGCGAGTTTCAGCTGTGGATTGTTGGAAGAGTGCGTGCTTGCTGGCTTGCTTGCTTGGTTGGAGTGACTAGTTGGATCCGTGAGTTGAGACAGTTTATTGCTTAGTGCCTGCGCTGCAATACATTGAAGTGTCAGGTGGTGAGCGTATGCTTGCTTGTGAGTCTGATTTTGTTACAAGCGTCTGCTTGTTACTGGAGATTCAGGTCAAGGTGGCTCAGATTGAGTCGCTGTTGATTCTTGGCTCATGTTGATGACAAGTATTGTGCGTTTTGGTTGCCTGGTTTTGGTTGCTTTGTGCTGCGTTGTCGTTGCTACATTGGTTGGAAAACAGTTGTGCCTACAACTCCTACGACTCATGATTGGACCTGTTGTTCCTCAATTGTTTTGGTTTGGAAGCTTGCGCATTGTATGGCAGATGTGAAAGGTTGTCTGAGTGACTGCTTAGGTTGAAATTGCTTGTTGACTTGACGACTTGACGTGCCCGGTGTTTTGGTTTTGAAGCGATTGGCAGAATCAAGGTGGGAGCCTGTTCCCATTGCTTAGCAGGCCAGATTGTTCATTCAGTCCGCCTGTGGAGCGTTTGTGCTTATTGCATACTTGTAGCAGTTGCTTTTGGTGTGTCGAGTTTTGGTTGCCTGTTTCGGTCTCTCGGCAAGATCATTGGAGGAGCGTGTTTCTCTAGTCTTGCAAGTCAGATTGAGCTCCACTTGCAAGATGTGATTGTCGCTTGACTATTGAGAGTTGAGTTGGTTGCGCGTGTTGCTGGTGTCGGTTTTGCATG